ACACTGAGTCCCTGCAGCTGCCTCCCTAACCATGAAAAATAAACCCAACCTGCTACTCAGAGTCAGACAATAGGAGGAGCACAGCACAAACCTCGAATCAGAAGACAAATTTTTCTTTTCCTGGAGAAAATTAGACTTTACATTGAGGGGTCCTGGGGACAGAAAGGGGTGAGTAATCTTATTTAAGCAAAAAGAATCCTTTTTGGCCAGGAGAGGTGCCCTACACTTGGGAGGATGAAGCAGGAAGATCCGAGTTCAAGCACAGCCTGGCTTGAATCAATTTGGTGAGAAAGAACCTCAAAATAAAACAGAGCAGGGTGCAGCTCAGAGGCTCTGGGTTCAATCTGTACTATCGCAGAGCGAGCGAGAGAGACAGAGAGAGAGACAGAGACAGAGAGAGACAGAGAGGGACAGAGAGGGACAGAGAGAGCTTTTTATTTTTTTTTGCAGTAAACCAAGGGCCGAGACACTAAGCTACATTCCCTAGTCCTTTGTATTATTTTTTTCAACGTTTTTGAGACCTGCTCACTAGGCAGTTCAGGCTAGCCTTGAACTCACTATGTAGCCCAGGCTAGCTTGGAACTGGAAGTGATCCTCCTGCCTCAGCCTCCTGAGTGCTGGCATTCAAATAGGCACCACAAGGCCTGGCTCTTTGAGATAAATCTAAGTTGCCCAGTTGAATGGAACTTGTGATTGATAGGTTCCCGCCCTAGTATGAATGGTGGTCGTCTAACATGGCTGAAGCCCTTAAAGCAGAAGCCCATCTTCCCAAGACCACCTCCCCCTTCTCCAACTCAGCCCGGGGTGCAATGTCCTTTCACCCCTCCCGCAGCCTCAGGGAAGCCCCCACTCAGCTCCTCAGGGATATCTAAACGTCCCCCTCAAGTCCCACCCCTGGCAACAGGCCAGGAAAGCCTCAGCCTGCCTTTGTTCCAATCCAGAGAATCCCTCATCTTCCCCACATTCTCTCGGTGTCCTCAAAGGTAATAAAGCCCCGTTCCCTTTTCCTTTCCCTTTTTCTTTCTGCCTGTTTCTCTGCTGTGACGCGCTGTCACGGGAAGGCCCACCGGTGATGGGACGCGGAAGAGGCACGCTCGCTATCTTTCTGAGGTGTGTAGTCAGCTGAGGGACTGGCCTGGATTTGTCGATCACTTCATAAGTCACAAAGACAGCTGTACTGGTTCCAGCAAAAAAAAAAAAAAAAAAAAAAAAAAAGAAAGAAAGAAAAGAAAAGAAAAAAAGGACAGCTGTAAATACGTGGCGCCCAGAGGGTGGGTGAGAACGGGCTGCCTGCGTTAGCCAGGGCGTGAGCGCAGCTTCCCAGCCAAGAGAAGCTGGCTGCAGGGGTGAGGTGCGGCGGGAGCAGGGCACCCGACAAAGCTTCTCCATTGAGGTCTGGCAAGTTGTTAGGTTTGGTAGAGACAGAATAAACTCGTCCTGATCCGATCCTGGCCGCAACTCCTGGCTGGGGCTCCTCCCTCCCCCTGCGCTGCTGCAGGGCCCTGGAGAAGGTGCCCGACGAACTGCGGCAGCTCTTTGGTTACAGCACTGTGTTCCTTTTGCAGCGACAGACATAGGTCACCACCTACTCCTCACCCTTCAGTAGGCAGCACTGGATGCGGCTGGGGGCTCAGGCACAGGGCGTGCTTCTTCCTGATCTTGGGCACTGAAACAAAACAAAACAAAAAAATCAAGGCAAAACCGATTTTGCAGCTCAGGGGATCAAACCCAGGGGGGCCTTAGCGCTAAACTGTACTCTGCCGCTGACTTCTCCTCCCAGCCGCTATCAAGCCTTAAGACAAAACAAAACTAAACAGAGCTGATTGACCCTAAATTTTTGTTCTAATCCTTGGATCCTGGAAATGCTTGGCATGTTACTAATCCTCCAGGATGAGTGTGAGAGCCTTCCGGGCTTGGAGGGTTGGGTTTGTTGTGTGGGTTTCTTCCTGGCTGTTCTCTTTCTCCCCAGGACAGGGGACTAAACACAGGGTTTTCTCACTGACCTACATCCCACCCCCTGCCCCTTTTATTTTAAAGAGAAAAAACCCCACTGAAAACAATAATGTTAAATTTCAAAACCGGATAGTAGGTGAGTAACAGTGGTTAGTACATTGCTTATTGTTATCTTCAAAGTTTTTGCTCAAATAAATGTTGTTTGTTTTGGCTTTTTTTTTTTTTTTTTTTTTTTTTTTTGTGTGTGTGTGTGGTGCCAGGAATTGAACTCAGGACCTTGAGCTTACCAGGCATGTTTTGCCATTTGAACTCAGGGCCTTATACACTCTAGGCAAGCACTCTACCACTGAGCTACACCCCCAGCCCCCAGCCCCTGTCCACACTGCTCTTGAGCATTCCATGGCTAAATTTATCCTGCCTGTCTTCCAGGATGTTGGGATTGTCAGTGAACAGCACATCCAGCTTTTTTACTTTTTTTTTTTTTTCTCTGTTTTGCTCTTGAAAGAGAGAAAACAGGGGGCTGGGGAGATGGCTCAGTAGAATAAGTGCTTCCCTGGCAAGTGCAAGCAAGGGCCTGAGTTCAGTTCCCCGGTTCTGCCAACAAAGAAAAAGAGAAAATATAGAATCTTTCTCTGTAGTCCAAACAGGCTTTGAATTGGGGATATTCAGCTTTCTGAGTACTGAGATTACAGGCATGAGCCAGCATGGCTGGTATCAATGTGGTATTTTCATACACATATATGACATACTCTGATAATACCCATTTTCCGCTTCCCTTCTCACACCCTCTTCTCTTATTCCCTTCCTCTTTCATTTCTTTTGGAGACAACGCAGTTGAGGCTGGCCTCAAATTCACTGTCTAGTCCAGACTCCTTGATTTCTGGATCCTCCTGTTTCGGCCTCCTGACAACTGGAATTACAGGCATGTGCCACCATGCTAAGACTGATTAGCTGTATTTTCTAAAGCTGCAATTATTTTATATCACTCACATAATACGAAGTTTTGAAATAAAAGTTCTTAGAAGAAACATTTCATGGTAACCCTAAGGAGAGATAGTGATCATGGCATTTGAAGCATCCTAAAATAAATGCTTGAGGGGGCTGGGGAGATAGCTCAGTAGAACAAGCGCTTGCCTGGCAAGCACAAGGACCTGAGTTCAATCCCTGGTTCTGCCAATAAATAAATAAATGCTCTTTCAGCCCTCTGGGAGGTGGACAAAGGAGGATCAAAAGTTCCAGATGAGGATGGGGATACACCTCAGTGGTACTAGCACCTGCCTGGCAATCACAAGGTCCTGAGTTCAAAACCCTGTATAGCACCAAAAAAAAAAAAAAAAAAAAAAAAAAAAAAAAAAAAAAAGAAAAGAAAAAGAAAAAGAAACAAAGTTCCAGATGAGTTTGGGCAATTGGAGAATTACTGAGACCCTGTCTCAAATAAAAATAAAAGGGTAAAGATTTAGCTCAGCGCAAAGGCCCTGGTTTTTACCCACAGTACTGGGGGAAAAATAATCACACTCTGAGAAGTATATGTTTAGGCCAGGGAGATAGTTCCATGGCATAAGCGCCTGCCTGGCAAATGCAAGGTCCTTAGTTCAATCCCCGGCACCCCCTCAAAAAAAGTTTATGTTTAGTAAGAAAACCCACAAAAAACAAAAACAAATAGCAAGTAGTATATGTTTGCTCTGAAAATGCCTCCTACAGACAATTCCTTACTCAGGCTGGTTGCTGGACCTGCAGGTCTTTTTAAAAAGTTCTTCTAGGGGGCCGGGGAGATGGCTCAGTGGAATAAGCGCTTCCCTGGCAAGCGCAGGGCCTGAGTTCAATCCCCGGTTCCACCAGAATAAAAAATAAAAAATAAAAAATTTCTTCTAAGAGCCACTACAATCTGTCAGTGCAAACACTAGAAAAATAACCTCTAAAACCAGGACGTGTCCTTTCTCTGGATTATGTGGATGAAATGAAGTAATACAGATAGCTCACTTGGAACAGTCTGCAGCAGAAACACGACCTACCTAAAGGCTCTAGGAGTGCAGCAGGGGTGCGATTGAGGAAGGATAGAAAAAAAGGAATGATTCTGCTTTTTTTTTTGGAAAGCTTCCCCCCACCACCCCACCAAACAGGTACCAGGGATTGAATTGCCAGGCAAGCACTTATTATACTGAGCTATCTCCTAGGTCCTATTTCTGCTTTTTTTAAAAGACAGGGTTGCACCCAGCAGATCAGGCTGGCCTTGAACTCACCATGACCCGTGACAAGCCTCCTGTCTCAGCATCCCGAGGGTTGGGATTACAGGCATGCACCACCACACCTGGCTTCTGGACAAGAGCAAAGAATGCTGAAGCCCACAGCCCAGGCCAGACGGTAGAGCTCATGTCCACTGCGGAAAGCAGATCCTGCAGTGCAGGATCTATGCAGAATTAGTTGGGTGTAGTGCTGTACACCGTAATCCCAACATTTCAGGAGGCTGAAGTAAGAGAATCGACTAAGTTCAAGTCTTGCCTGGGCAGTTTCTGCAAGACCCTATCTCAAAAATTACAACAAAAAAAGGACTAATAATGTAGCACAGTGGCAGGAGCGCCTATGGGTTTGATCCCCAGGACTATCAAAAACCTAAAATAATTCCAGAAATAAGACCTCGGGATCCTAATCCATAGTACTGTATGGCTAACGTCAGAGCCAAGGCTATGTCCAATGAACTCCCCCTTGACGTTCTTTAAGGGTCGCGAGGCAGGCGCAGCCGCCTAAGGGGGTGGGAACTACACTTCCCAGCATGCAACGGGGACACGACATTCGGCCTTGTGCTGCGCCGCGCCAAGGACTTCTGGGAGTTTCATTGACCTCTGGGCCCCGCTCAAATCGACCCCCTCTTTTTCCCCCAGGTCCCGCCCCTCCGCCGAGTGACTGACCCGGCCGAGGACCAGGAGCTCCTTCCTTTTTCACTCTCATTGGTCCAATCTAGCTGCCATTCGAGAGACAGGAGAAAAAATTGCTTCCTGATTGGTGAATTCCGTTTGGCGCCAACTAGGATAGGGGGGCGGGGCAGTGGCGGTCCCTTGGAAGCAGCTAATACCGCGAAAAGCCACTTGGGCTGCAGAGGACAGAGGCGAAGGTCGGCGAGTTTCCTTCGACCCAGGACAGGAGCAAAGGCGTGAGAAACGTGAAAAGATTGGAGCGGAGACTTTGCTTCGAGGATCTCTCCCGCTCCTCTTCTGCGCCAGCATCGCCTGTTTAGATTTAGTCTTCAGGTTGCCGCCGCCCGCCCGCCTGGCCTCGCGGGGCGAGAGCGGAGCCCCGAGCTTGCGGCTGGATCCCCGCCCGCCCGCCGGCCCGCCCGCGCCGTCTGCCCGTGGCCGCTGCGTCCCGGAACCGCAGGGTCGCGTAGGGCTCTGAGCCGCGGGCGAGCAGCGGACGCAGAGGACGGAGCGGGAGCCGGGAGGCCGGCGCCGCCATGGAGCTGGGCCCGGAGCCCCCGCACCGCCGCCGCCTGCTCTTTGCCGGCAGCCCCTCTTCTGTGTCGCCCACGGCCGCCAGGCCGCTGTTGGGCGCGCCGGTGGCCGGGGGGCTTTCGCCTGTCACCAACCTGACGGTCACCATGGACCAGCTGCAGGGCCTGGGCAGGTAAGAGGTCGGGAGGACCCCCGCGGGGTGGCGGGTCGCCAAGGGCACCGTGCTGACCCAGGGGTGAGCTTCAAGCCCGAGCCAGGCCCAGGGAGGGATCTCTGCGTCCTCAGGTCACCTCTCCGCTCATTTGTGGCCTCGGCCCTGTCCGGGGAGCTCCTGGCCATCGCCACACTTCTCCCAGCGGAGCCACGCGCCGGACCGTGGTTTCCCTGAGCTTTGTTCCTTCCCAACAAAGGGAATTGCAGTTTTCTTACCCAGATCTTTGTGGCCCCTCGCGTTTCCAATGTCCACTTCTCTGTGACCCTTAGCCCACGCTTTTTGCTTAATCTTCCCTGGTGGAAATCTCTCTGCGCGTCTTACCGCCCCAGAGTGCACCCCACAGTGTTTCTGAGCTAGCTGGCTCCCCAGCAGTGGCATCTCATTTTCTGACACCTAGGTGTGATCTGGTCCCCATTCTCTAAAAGCAAAGCCTCCGGTCCCCTGTACCTTCTGCAGCTTGTCCCAGCACTGCACTCAGAGCATGGGCTCTTACTTAAAGAACACTCCAACACTGACCATCTTCGTTGTGTTCTCCATGTGGCCCAGGGCCACGCTCACCAGGTGCTCAGGGTGGCAAAATGGGGTCTTGTGGCCTGGCAGAGAAATTAGGGTGGTTCTGACAGCCTGGCTGTTCTCCGGCCCACCTGCGTGTGACCTTTAGCTTGTGTCCTGGGAATAGCTCACAGGAAATGTTCCTTTTGGTTTCAGCGAGTGTGAGCAGTCACTGGAGGCGAAAAATAGCAGTCTGCAGAGAATGGGCTCCTCTGAATCAACTGACTCAGGTATTTTGAGTTTTTGGAAACAAGACCTTGCTATGTTGTCATTGTGTAGTCCAGGCTGGCCTCCATCCTCCTGCCTCAGTTTCCTGAGTGCTTGGGTTTTGGACATCCTGTTGTTAGTCTTCACCCACCACGTGTCTGCTATGTGGGCTGCTGTACTGGAAATTGGAAATGTCCTTTCACCCAAGAACTGGAAGTGAGGGGCCAGGGGAGATGGCGCCAAAAACAAAAAACAAAAAAACCAAGAACTGGAAGGCATTCAGAGAATTTTTTTTTGGAACCGGGCATTGAACTCAGGCCCTTATGTTTGCCAGGCAAGTGCTTATTCTACTGAGCCATCTCCCCAGCCCCGAGAGAATCTCAAGGGTTATAATGAGGATGAGAGCATCGGGAGTGTAATCAAGTCATTTCAGTGATGAAGTGTGGAGGAAATGGGCCGTTCAGCTTTTGCTGCTGCTAAGTTCATATCGATGCAGCCTCGCACAGATGCGGTGTTTGGTACATGGGTTAGGAAACCGCCAAGAGCAGAAGCCCTAAAATGTAGTTAGTATGTATAGGGCCTTTTTTAGGGGTGTAATAGGGATGGGCTGAAACAGGGTTTCACTATGTGGTTCAGGCTGGCCTTGAGCACATTGTGGCCCAAGGATCTTTCCCTGCCTCTGCCTCACGGTTTTGTCTCATATTTTGGGTCCTCCTGCCTGAGCCTCCTGTATAGCTAGGATTACAGGCATGTGCTGGCGCACCTGGCGAATGGTTGCTGTTTTTTGGTGGTACGGGGATTGAACTTACTACTGAGCTACATCCTAGCCCCAAATTTGCGATCTCCTTGCCTTAGCCTCCCAGTGTGCTGGGGTTACAAGCAGTGAACCACCCTACCCAAATAGTTTATGCTTTTCATAACCTCCAGTTAGACATATAATTTGATAAAATACTTGAAATCAAGATTATTGCAAGAAAAATGGTGGGTTTTTGTTTTTGTTTTTTTTTTCCCCATAATTGGAACTCATTAAAAGTTTGGGTGGTTTACCTGGCTATCCAAACAATTATGCTGTAAAACAATTTAATTTAGCCTTTCCCCAAGTGTGTTTGTCTTGCCAGTATTTTCCAAGTAAAGTAATCATTGAATACTATAAAGGTGGTATGGATTTAGTTTAGCAAAGAAATAGTGTTGTGTGCATTATTTCCTGAGCAATGGTTTTCTTTTCCCACACAGGTTTCTGTCTGGATTCTCCTGGGCCCTTGGACAGTAAAGAAAAGTAAGTATTCACTGCTTTGAAACATCTTTGCTTAGAAACCTTCCTTAATGTGAAAGTGAAATTCTTGCTGTGCTGGAGTGGAGCCCTAGAGTGAGCTGTTCTAGACGCCTGGATCCTAGAACAGTAGCATCTTGAGAATGAGAAGTTTGTGTTAGCACCTTTGAGAACTTTTTCTCCTTCATTTTAGCTGTAATTTAGGTGTTTGTGGGTCTAACCTAAACCCTTCTACCTTCTGATGTTGAAAACCTTAAGAGAATGTGCGCTTTTGGTTTTAAAGATCTGGTAGTCAGGCTGTGTAGTCAGGCTCGTGGCAGTCCTCTTGCCTCAGCCTCCCGGGTGCAGAGATTATAGGCATGCCCCACCGCACCTGGCAAGAGAATGTGTGTACTTTAAAGAAAGAAGACTCCAAGTCTTTTTGAGATGACCCATCATTAATTAAATTGCTAAACTGGGGCCAGGGACACAACTCAGCAGCATAAGCACTTGCCTGGCAAGTGGAAGGTCCTGAGTTTGATTCCTGGTACCGCAAAAATAAATAAGTTGTACTCAAGGGATGAGGTTTATTGTGTTAGGTCACTAAATTTTTTGTCCTTTTTTTTACGCCCCTTGGTACTGGGGATTGAAGCGGGGGTCTTCACACTGAGCTATAGAGTCTCACTGTGTAGTGTAGTTCAGCTCAGCCTTGAACTAGCAGTGATCCAAGCACTGGCATTACAGCCATGTGTCACAATCCCCACCCCGTTTTAAAAATTTTAAGACAGACTCTTAAGTTATTAAGTTATCCAGGCTGACCGAGCCTGCAGTCACACCTTCAGTCTCTTATTGCTGGGATTACAGGTGTGTGCTAGCATGCTCAGCTGGTTTGTTCTTTTTTTTCTCTCTCTCACTGTACCAAGGATCGAACTTAGTACCTTGCACTTGCCAGGCAGGCACTTACGCTGCTGAACTGTCTCCCCAGCCCCTCAGCTGGTTTGCTTTTTTACCTCGAGCTTCATGTTTGGGCTGAAGGAAGTCCTTTCTCCCATCTCCTGGTAAAATGGGAATCTGTTTAACACCCCCCCACCCCAGCTTCAGTCTAAACTGTGTGTCTGCTAATATATATGCATAACCTCTTGGGATGCTCTCATTCTAATTATTTACCTTCTGGTCTTATTCTAGCCTTGGGAATCCCCTGAGAAGAATACATTCCCTACCTGTAAGTTAGTTCTTGGTTATTTTGAACTAATGCCCATCATTTCCTGCTCAAGTGAGGAAGGGAAAGCTGCTATTTTGCAGTCTTAGAAGCACTTAGGATATTCCAGAGCAGCTGAGTAATGGCTGCCTCTTTAGGACTTTGTCCTCCGTCAGTTTTATCAACCAGGAAGTTTTTGTACGAATGTCCTTGCGGGGTGGAGGTGGCACTGTAACTAGCTTTGAAAGGGCTTGGGCCTTGTGAGATTGGGTGCATTTCCTGTCCTGTTCAGCTACGACTGCTCCTTGTGGAGAGCCAGCTGCCCTGCCCCCCAGTTAGGAGCTTAGTCTTCCAGTCCATTCTTCCTTATGTGTGCTTTCCTTCCTTCACTTCAGCAGAAGCTCTTGGGATGTAGCCCAGCTCTGAAGAGAAGCCATTCTGACTGTGGTGACCATGACATCTTTCAGCTCATTGACCAGGATGAAAACAAGGAGAATGTGAGTGGCGCCTGGGTGCCGACCTGGCGGGGGAAGCCTGTGAAGCTCTGTCAATTAGAAGAGGTGGCCTTGGCCTGCTTCTTTTATAATTTTACTTTAGTCTTTGGTACTGGGTAGTGGGTAATAGGTTTTTTTCAGGTGCACAGCACAGCAGAAAAACAGGTCCATTTTTCTTTATGTGTGCTTTCAGAAAAAAGGAAGGATCTTTATTTTCTTTGAGGACACGCAGAGAATGTGGGGAAGGATAAAGAATTTTCTCATTTGGAACAAAGGCAGGCTGAGGCTTTCATGGCCTGTTGCCAGGGGTGGAGTTTGGAGGGGATGTTTAGATATCCCTGAGGAGCTGAGTGGGGGCTTCCCTGAGGCTGCGGGAGGGGTGAAAGGAAATTGCACCCTGGGCTGAGTTGGAGAAGAAGGGGGAGGTGGTTTTGGGAAGATGGGCTTTTGTTTTAAGGGCTTCAGCCATGTTAGAAGACCACCATGATGATTTTAGCAATTCATACTAGGGCCAGAACCTATCAGTGGGTGGGACTCCAGGACCTTCATGCTCAGCTACATTCCTAGCCTTTCTGTTTTGTTTTATTTTATTTTTGTCTTTTTGAGACAAGGTCTCACTGTGTAGTTTTGGCTGGCCTTGAGCTCACTTTGTAGCCCAGGCTGGTCTTGAACTCTGCAGCTATCCTCCTGTCTCAGCCTCCTCAGTACTGGAATTACAGGCATGCTCTACTACCTGCCCAGTTTAGAGGCCCTCCCTGCATTATCAGGAGTAGTTGAACTTATGTCCAGGCGCTTAGACTGCCAAGTTGTCTTCCCAGCCTTGTATTTTATTTTGAGACAGGGTCTCACTGAGTTGCCCAGGCTAGGTTTAAATTTACAGGGGCCAGGGAGATAGCTCAGTAGAATAAATGCTTGCCTGGCAGGCACATGGTCCTGAGTTCAATCCCTGGTACCGCAAAATAAATAAATAAATAAATTTATAAATCGTTTGTCAGCCTCCCAGATTTCTGGGATTATAGGCGTGTGCCACCATGTCTGGTCTCCTTTTTTTACTTTTTGCAGTACTGGGGATTAAACACGGCTTTCACGCTGAGCTGCACTTCCAACCCTTTATTTTTTATTATGAAATAAGGTCTTGTTAAATTGCTAATTTACCCAGATTGGGCTCAAACTTCAGATCAGATTGTCCTGCCCGAGTCTCCCAGAGGGATGAGATGCCAGGCATGTGTGGTGCCAGCCCTGATCCCCTCTTAAGATCTGATAAGGGTGATTTTGTTCTACACAGGCATCCAAAAAATGAAGGTTGCAATGCTGGAGACCTAATTCAGGATATTTGCACTGAGCTACATCCCTGCCCATCTCTTTTTAAAATTTGCAGATGGGTCTTGCTAAATTGCCTGGGCTAGACTTGAACCTGGAAACCCTCCTGCTTCAGCCTCCCAGAGTGCTGGAATTACAGATGGGTTTTTCTTTCCCCCCTCTTCCCTGTTACGGTTCTACGGCTCACTGACCTTACAGTCTCATGGTGTATACAGCTGTCTGCCTCCACAGACCCTCCTGACTGTCTGGTTTGGCCTTGGGGCTGTGGTGGAGGACAAGCATGGAGATGGCTTCTAGCCTCAGCGCCTGTCCTCTGTGGCGCTACACTGAGCCAAGGCTGCACTCCCAGAGCGAGGCTTATCCACACTGGGAGAATGCACTGGTGGCACTGGTGGCGAGGAGCATCTTCTGCAGTTGTCCTGTCCCCTTGGGTGACTGGGGCATACCATTTAGCCTGAAGACCTATTCTGTACCACAGGGCAGTCAGGATGTGTCTGTAGGCTAAGTGATTTAGTACACAAAAAGTACTTGGTTGGCAGTTACAGAAACTGATTCTAGCTGTTGCTTCATGTAGGAACAAATCTGTCAGCCTGTGGTGGTGCACGCCTGTGAGCCCGAGACCCCAGCACTCGGGAGGCTGAGGCGGGAGATTTGCTGAGTTCAAGGCCAACTTGGACTCCGTAATGAGGCCTTGTCTTCAAAACCAAAAGGAACCCGTTCTTGTGCTTGTGTTGGGATGGGGGCACAAAGTGCTTTTGAACGAGTGGAACCCTCTTAGCCTCCTGTCCCACGGGGCTTTCATCCCACCTCGTGAGAGAAGTGTCCGCAATAAACAGACCTGGAGGGAGTTTTGTTTGGCGATTTTGTTTTCTTCCTTTCTTCCAGAACCAATGTCTAAACCCAGAGTGTTCATACTGAGCTACATCCCAAGCCTTTTTTATTTTTGATTTTTGGACACTCACCAGGTTGCTGGCTGTTTCCTAGTCTGGGCTCACACATCATGTCCTCCTGTTCTAGCCCTCTAGAAAGCTGAGGTTACAGGTGTGCACTAACACCAGCACAGTGACAATTTTTTGAGTGGAAAAACACGTCTCCTGCAGGTAGGAAGGAGTAAAAAACATGCCATCCTCAAGCAGCTATAAGTCTGGGTTCAAAGTTTAATTTTATTTATTTATTTATGTGTGTGTGTGGCCAGCTCAGCCCACCAGGGGGCGGGGCTGGCTGGCATGTGGTGCTGGGGGATTGAGCCGCGGTCCCTGTGCTTTGCTAAGCTTGTTCTAAGTAGGTGCTTTAGACCACTGAGCCATCTCACCAGCCCCTGGGTTCAAAGTTTAGACTGTTCACCAGCAGTGTACTGAGGTGATGTGGATTTTGAGAAGTTTGTGTTCCACATACGCCCTTGGCAGATACTGTGCATTAGGAAATACTGTTATGGAAAAGATGCTGCCTCATTTTTGTTAATTGTTACCGTGTCCCTGGGGACCAAGATGCACCTGGCTTGGTGGGGCAGAGCCGAGCAGCGCCCCTCCCCTTGCCTCTCCCCTCAAGTCAGAGCCAAGCCCCTCGAGCTGGTTTCCGTGAACAGTAGCTGCCTGAACTGCACTGTCTTGCAGGAAGCCTTTGAGTTTAAGAAGCCACTCAGACCCTCGTCCCGTGGCTGCCTGCACTCCCGTGGACGTGAGGAGGGCAAAGAGCTCTTCACACAGAGGCAGAACTCTGCCCCGGCTCGGATGGTACGTGTGCTGGCTCCTGGTGGACGGACGGAAAGGCACCTTTTTTTTTTTTTTTTTTTTTTGGTTTTTGGTTTTTGTTTGCTTTTGGGTTTTTTGTTTTGTTTTTAGATAAGGTCTCACTGTGTAGTTCAGGTGGCCTCTTAATTGGCAGCTGTCTTCCTACATTGGCTTCACAAGGATTTGTCATGGGCCACCACACCCAGGGAAAGCAGCCTTTTGACCCCAGGCTGAAGATAAGGTAGTACTAACTGCTTATTTTATATTTGGAAGCATTCTTGGTATTTTTGCCATCTGCAGAGCAGATGGGGAGAATCAGGAGTGTTGGGTCAGGGGATCTGCTGGAGTACTGGGCCTTTGTTCTGGGAGAAGAATCTGAAGCCCCCTGGCTGAGTCTCCAGGATAGGATTGTGTTCATTACAAGCAAACCATATTCTTTGCAATGCCCCCTAAGTGCTGAAGTATTTCCAAAGGAGTGATTTTATTTGGAGATTATTTGTCTTTTTAAGGGTGGTTTATTAAGAACTGATATCTCACCTATAATCTAAGCACTCGGAAACTAAGGCAGGAGGACTGCAAATTTGAGCTTAATTTGGGCCACTTAACAGTTCAGTGAGATCCTGTCTCAAAAAAAAATTGATTAAAAGTGTTGAAGAGGGTGGGCATGGTGGTGCATACCTGTAACCTCAGCGACGGGAGGCTGAGGTTGAAAACCATTGTGAGTTTGAGACCAGCCTGGGCCACAAAGTGAGCTCAAGGCCAGCTTAAGCTGCTTAGTGAGACCCTGTTTCAGAAAGAAAACAGAAGGTTGGTGATGTAGCTCAGTCTGAAGATCTCACACATAATACCCAGCTCTGCAAAAAGGAAAAAAAAAAGACTGCTTGGCAGTCTTAGGGGTCACTTGTTCCAGCTGTTTACGTCCCAGATTGTTCTTTCTTCTGGTTTCCTACTGCTGGTCTGCACTGGTCGGCTGACAGTGCGTCTGTTTCCACGGGAGGTTCTACTTGAGCACAGTGACCACATTTGGTGTCTAGGTCTTTCTGGGTGCTTGGATACAGAAATACACATATCCGGTCTGGCTTGTGGATTGAGGCGCAGGTCAGCAGTGTTGCTGCGGAGTCTCGCATGAGTCGTCATAGGCCTGCGAGGTACCTGGAGTTACTACCTCGGATGAAGAAGGAATCATTAGAGGGGTTGAGTGATTTGCCAAAAACACCAAGAGAAGACTAGCACTTAGCAAGCCATCTAGGGTCCCAAGGACATGGTGACAGTGAGGGCTGGGTGTCAGCCTGACTGCCTTTAGCATACTGGAGACCAAGCACCAGCATTCTCTGCGATCCCTTGGTCATCTCATGGTAGGAGAAAGAGGCAAGGTTAGAAATGAAAAGCTCTCAGAAAGTTAGTCTCTGGTTTGGCTTTTGGTCACGTTGGAGGGTGCTCTTGTGTCCTTGCTGTTGGACTCCCAAGTCATGTCTCCTTAAGGACTGCTTGCTGTAGGAAGGGGGAAAAGTTGCGGGCCCCCGCCAGTAAAGTTACCAGTACTTGACCTGCCAGTTTGCTCCGAATGCCCCTAGGGAGGAGCACATGCAGCCCTGGCAAGCTCCATTCGTGTCACCCAGAGTGACCTGGCTGTGGGTGGGGCTTAGGAAGCGGTTCAGAAAGCTGGAGACCACTGCAGGGCTGGCCTTTGTGCCCTAGTGACAGGGCCCTAAGGAGTCCTTTTGGGACTTAGTGTAAGGATTGCCTTGTCACGGTTAAAAAAATCAAATGCAAGTATCTCTTTTAACTTTTCTCTAGCTTCTAAAATCTGGAAAGTAATTTAGTTTTAGCGGTATTCTATCTGGATTTTTTTTTTTTTTTTTAATTTTTATTTTAGGGAAGGGTCTATAGGATGTGCAGGGTCTCACTACTAGATCTGACTCCTAGTGATCCACCTGTTTATAGCCTCCCAAGAGCTGGGATTGCAGGCGTGTGCCACCACGCCCAGTCTCAATTGCCGTCTCAGCGGGCCCCATGGGCAGGGCTGGGATCGAACCCCAGCCCCTCCACTGAGCTATTTGGCCAGCCCCCCCCCCCTTTTGATGTAGATTTATGAGTAATTTGGGGGTTTTGCTTTGGGGTCTTTCCCTCTAAATATTTTAGGCTTTAGCCATGTGTGTTGGCACACACCCATAATCCCAGCACTCAGGAGGGTTCTGTCTTGACAGAAGGAATGCCTTGAGTTCAGGGACAGCCTGAACTGCACAGGGGGACCCTGTCTCTAAAGCTAATAATAATAATAAACAACTTTTTTTATTTACCTTTTTTGGTGGAACCGGGGATTGAACTCAGGCCCATGCGCTTGCCAGGGAAGCGCTTATTCTGAGCCATCTCCCTGGCCCAACAACTTTTTTTTAGGTTTTATATTGAGGATTAATTTTTTGGTGGAACCGGGGATTGAGCAACAAAACAAAACCATAGGTCTGACATTTTTATTGCAGGAACAGTTCTGTCTCCTAGGGGGGTGGCATAGTGTTCCAAAGAGCTTAGGTTCTGGTGTCAGATTAGGCATGAGATTTTGGTAAGCATCCGTTTTCTAGAAGAGAAAGACTTACTGGGCACAGATGCCGCGATGCTTCCATGTAGTCCTCTAGCTACCAAGGGCCTGGGGCAGAAGGGTGGCTTAACTCTGAAGTTCAAGGCCAGCCTGGTCGGTTTGAGGTTCCATCTCCAAAAGGAAAAAAATTGGGCACGGGGGATCTACCTCAAACTCAGTGCTGCACTCTGGAGGCTGAGGCAGGAGTATCATGGTGAGTTCAAGGGCCAGCCAGAATTGGAGGGAAACCCTGTTTTTAAAAAGGGGCCAGAGGGAGCCTGGCCCTAGCTCAGTTCTTTAAGTGTCTGCTTCCACAAAGCTGTCAGCCTCAGGTTGTTGTAGTTCGATCCCCACAACCTTCCAGCCAGCCAAAAGTGCCCTGAAGGCATTGGAGGAGTAAGAAAAAAAATCCTTATTCCATTTTTAGGGCCAGGGAGATGGCTCAGTAGAATAAGTGCTTCCCTGGCAAGTGCAAGGACCTGAGTTCAATCCCCAGTTCCACCAAAAAGGGGGGGGGGCAGAATAAGTAAAGGAGTAACTAAAGGACATAAGTGATGCGTGCCAATAATCCCACCACTTGGGAGGCTGAGGCAGGAGGCTCGAGTTTGAGTTGGTCTGTGTTAGATAATAAGTGAGGCCAACCTGGGCTACATTAGTAAGATCATGTCCGGAAAAAGGAAGGAAGGTGTACTGTAGGAAGCTTGCCAAGCTCAAGCCAGCCTGAGCAGTTGAGTGAGACTGTCTCAAATAAAAAAATAACGGTGCCAGGGGATAGTTCAGCAGTCGTAGCACCTGCCTGGCGCGAACCAGATTCAATCCCCAGGACTGCATGCTGTGCCAACCACTGAAACCAGGTGTCATACACACCTGTAATCCCAGCCCTGGGAAGGCTGAGACAGGAGGATCACTAAGAGGCCGAGTTGCTTAGTAAGACCCTGTACTAAATAAATAAAATTTAAAAATAATAAAGGGCTGGGGCCTGGGGCTAAAGCTCAGTGTAAAGGCCCAAGGCTTAATCCTCAGTACCACAAAAAAGCAAAACAAAAGAACAAAAGAAGAATGAACAATCCTCACAATACTAAGGCTTAAACTGTTCTGTGGTAATTCTTCAGTACAAAGCTGAACAGCTGGTTCTTTGTTCTTTGTTTCCTTTTAGCTTTCCTCAAATGAAAGAGATAGCAGTGAACCAGGGACTTTGGTTCCTTTCTTTATGCCGCAGTCACCTGCGACAGCCACTCTGTCTGATGAGGATGATGGCTTCATGGACCTTCTTGATGGAGAGAACCTGAAGGTACCCTGTGCGTGTGCATCTGCACTCCTGCCCTCCAGCCACCCCCACGATGTCAGCAGGCGTGCATGGAGAGGCAGCTCCTGCCTGCTGGGTTGGGAGGGTCACAGGACACCCTGTGCTGCTCCTCACCTTGGAAGAGTTGACCAAAAACATAAGGAGAGTGTAGGTTGGGTGCCAAGTGGCAGCAGACTGAAGGACCTCAGGAGACCTACCCGTCCACCAGAGGCTGTCAGCTGCCCCAAACTGTGGGGCGTGAGGGCAGGGGAGACTGGTGTAGTGTCTGTGATACTGGATGGGTTTCAAACTGCCACTCCCACATCTCCCTAAAGCCAGTTTTCTCCCTGCAGAATGACGAGGAGACCCCGTCATGCATGGCCAGCCTGTGGACCGCTCCCCTGGTCATGAGAAGAGCACCAAATCTTGTGAGTCCCCCAGGGCAGCCTTGGCTGAGCATAGCCTGAGGCGGATGCAGCACCTCCGCTTCCTGCACACTGACTGACTTTGAAGACTACATCTCCTGAGCCTGTTTCCTCATCTGTGAAACAGGGACTGTGGGTTTGGAGCAGCAAGTGTTTTTCTGGCTCATGAAGTCTAGGGAGTGTGGAAAAAAACCAATCTGAAGCATTTAGCCTGAAGACCTCTAGCTTTTTGTAGCTCATTGTATTGTCCCTTGTATGCCACAGCACAGCACCTGACGCGCTATGATATCTCACAGAATGGTTCTGTTCTGACTGAAAATCTGTCTCCTGTCTGTTCATCATAAACCCCAGTTTCTGTCACGGCGACATTTTCCTGTGTACAAACACGGAGAAATGGAGTGCTGGCTGTCACCATAGTGTAGATTCAGACCTATATTCTCCTTGGTATCATACAAATTCAAAGTGGTAACTTTGATCAGGGAGATAGCTCAGTAGAATAAGCGCTTGCTTGGCAAGCTCAAGGTCCCGAGTTCAAATTGATAGCTTTGGGGAGGGTGGCTCCAGCTCACCTTGGACTAACTCTAGTGTAGGTTGGGCTTGAGCTCACGTCAGTCCTTCTGCCTCAGCTTCTCACATACTGAGGATACAGATGTGCACTGCCACGCTTTCCTTTTGATCGCTGTTCACCTAAGTTATAAATAACATGCAAATGTGCTATAACTTTGGGGCTCCTTATGGATTATAGAAGCTCTTTTTTTTAGCTGGGAATCAAACTCGGGACGTTGGGCTCACTAGGCAGGTGCTGTGCTGCTGACCTATATCTCAGGCTGGGTTGTAGGTTATAGTCATGCAGTGTGGATAGCTTTTGAGGAACTAGGTTGAACTAATACAAATAATATTAGCTGTAAAATTATATACGGAAGAATGCTTGGGAGGGGACCATTTTATAAGTCAGGTTTAAAAATCAAATAGGGCGCCGGGGAGATGGCTCAGTAGAATGTGTTTGCCCAAGGGCCTGGTTCCACCCCCCCCTCAAAAAAAAAATCATGAATGGATAATCCCAGTACTGGGAGGCTGAGGCAGGAAGATTGTGAATATGAAACCAACCAGAGCTACATAAAAAGAACCTTTATTGAAGGAAAAATCATGAGCCAGGGAGTCTTGTGGGATCTTAACAGTGAGAAATTAACTTTCACAAGTGCTTCCTGGCAGAGCCAGGCATAGTGGCACTTACCCGTGACCACAGCAGGGCTCGCAGTGAGTTCGAGGGCATCCACGCTCCATGGCCAGGTTCGGCATCGCTGGCAGCACACTAGGAAGTGAGCTTCTGGAAGCCTCCCCTCATCCTGTGTGCCTCACTGAGGTGGGGCTAGGGGGCGGTCCCGGCAGAAGGGAAGCAGCTCTTCCTGCGCTGCTCAGATGGGCTGTGGACTGAGGCAGGGCTGGCTTTGTTCTGTTTTTGTGGAGCTGGGGCCTGAACTCAGCTGCTTGGTTGGTTCCAGGAGACTGAGGCAGGATTGAGTTTGAGTCTAGCCCTGCAGCTCAGCAACTTGGTGAGCTGTGTCTCAGAGGGGGAAAAGACTGGAGAAGTAACTCAGCATGAAGGCCTCGTACCCTGAAAAGTGAAGACCTCATGAAGGAAAGGGGGTCTGTTGCTCTGTCCGCGCCTCCCCCTTCCCTTGGTGACAGTGTCTTGGTAACTGGCATCTGCTTATAGTGCATGCAGCCCAACCATGCCAGCTTTTCTAGATTGAGGTATAGTATTAAAACCTGCTTGGGGCTGGGAGATGGCTTAGTGGAATAAGCGCTTCTCTGGCAAGCGTGAAGACCCGAGTTCAATCCCTGGTTCTAAAAAAAAAAAACAAAAAACCTGCTCAAGGGTCCAGGGCTATAGGTCAGTGGCGCGGCACCTGCGCTGCTCCAGAGGACACCCCAAAATAGCGGCCTTGCCTGGCCTGTGACACCTCTAGGCCCCATAGACGAAGCTGTGGTGCAGGAAGAGTTCACGGCTCCAGGCTATACGTGCTGAGCACCAGTGCAGTGGCAGGGTGGGCTGGTGACTTGCTTGGCCTGTCCCCAATCTCCCAGTGACCTTGGACCATGCAAAGAAGCCTTCGGTTTCCTGGACTCCCGTGGAGAAGCTTTTCACAAAGGATGTTGCTGTCTTTCTCTCCTAAAGGGTACCCGATGCCAGCGCTTTGATGCCCCCACCTTGTGTAGCCTGAGCCCTCGGCCTGTGCTGAAGAGACCAGAGAGCTGGCAGGAGGACTCCCCCTGGGGGGGCACAAAGCGGAGGAGGAGCGCAGCTGGGGCCAGTCCTCAAAAGGGCCCGGAGGTGAGGCCAGCTGCTGTACTCCCCTGGCAGCCTCCGGGTGGGGCTCTTTCTCTGCTGAGGCGTGCTGTTTTGTCTTTGCCATTTTCATTTTGTTTCAAGTATATTCATGATTGCCTTTGAAGGCTGTTTGTCTATTTTGAGACAGGGTGGTTCTATAGGTCAGGCTGGTTCTGTTTGTTCGGTGTTTTTTTTTTGTTGTTGTTTTTGGCGGAACTGGGGATTGAACTCAGGCCCTTGCGCTTGCCAGGGAGGCGCTTATTCCACTGAGCCATCTCCCCAGCCCCTATAGTTCAGGCTGGCTCTGAACTCACTGTGTAGCCCAGGCTGGCCTCAGACTGCGCGGGGCCTCCTAACTCAGCCTCCCGAGGGCTTGCTGGGGTTAAAGCCGTGTATTACTACCCCCGCAGGTTGAAACCTGTTGAAGATCCTTGCCAGAATATTCCAGCTTCTGTTCCTAGTGCGGGATCTGTGGTCTCCTGTTCCAGGAGAGGTTTTGCTGGCTCTTGGCATGAACGGTGACTTTTCTTCATCTATCTCTTGTGTTTTGGACTTTCCTGGGCCCCTGTGACTGTCCAGGGGCCTTGCAGCCTCGAGCCTGCCCCTGCAGGTGGGAGCAAACGGTCCCAGCGAGGTGCGAGTTGGTGGGCATGTGGAGGTCTCTGAATGCCTCTTCCCCACAGCGGTGGAGCGGGACTATAATCTTTTCTATGGTCTTTAGCTGGATGGTGGACTGTTTTTTTTGTTTTTGTTTTTGTTTTTGTCCTGAGATTGTTCTTTGTCTTTGTCTAAAGAGAACAGACTAGAATTTTTTACTAAGTTGTCTTATTAGTACATTTTGGGTACTTATAATGACCACATTCATCATAGGGAATTTGTACCTGTGCATGATACAGCTTTTCCCCCATTCCCCTATCCTTTCAATCCTTGGGTGTTTTGGTTTTTTTTGTTTTTTTTTAAATCTTTAGGGCTAGAGATACATACAGCTCAGTGGCATAAGGGCCTGCCTGGCAAGTGCAAGATCCTGAGTTTGATCCCTGGCACCAACAAAACAAAAGAAAACTTTTATTCATTTATTTATTTGGCACAGGGTCTTGCTGTGCAGCTCAAACTTGTAGTGATCCTCTTGTCTCAGCCTCCCCAGTGCTGGGACCACAGATTTGTTCCACCACTCCTGGTCTCGATGGCCTGTACTGCATGCAGCACCAGGGACCAAACCCAGGCCCTTGTGCTTGCCAGGCAGATGCTTAGACCATCAAGCTGTCTTCTCTTTTGCTTTGAGGTGTTGGCCTACGCAGCTCAGACTCTATATTGATCCTGTTTTCAGCCTCTCAGCGCTGGGATTACAGGCACCACCATGCCTGGACTCCTTGGTCGGTTCACCATGCATCCTTACATTTTACGTATGTAAAACTGCTTAAGACTGGGTGCTTAGGTGGGTGAAAACAGGAGGATCACTACCACTCCAATCTACGTAGTGAGACCCTGGAGATCCTGTACTAAATACATTAAGAAAATAAAAAATTAAAAAAATGCTCTAAAAATTACTGAAATGGAGCTTGTATGGTGGTGTGCCCCTGTAATCCCAGCACTTGGGCTTACACTTGGAGGCAAGAGGATCATGTAGTTCAGGCTGGCAAGTTCAAGGCCAGCCTGAACTACATAGCAAGATCCTGGGAGACTATGAATGTATTGCTGGGCTCTGGGACTTCCAAAATTAGTGTTTTGGGGGTTGGGCATGGTGCCACAGGCCTTGAGGTCAGCCTAGGCTACCTAGTGCAGTCTTCTCAAAAAAAAGAAAAGGCTAGATTTTTATTTACTTATTTATTTTTCTTTTTGTCCTAAGGATTGAACTCAGAGCCTTTGGACTGAATTACATCCCTAGTTCTTCCTGCTTTGAGGGAGGGTTTTGGTCAGTTGCTTAAACCTGGGATCTTCCTTCCTTAGTTTGCTAGAGCACTGGGCGGGCAGGGTGGCACCACTGCGTCTCGCCGGGGTGCAGAGCAGGGAGCCAGGGGGTTGGACCGGGCTGGCACACACTCAGCAAGCCCTGTCTGCGCTACGCCGCGTCCCCTAGCCAGTATTGCTTCTGGAAACGCTTGTTAGATGAAGTAATGAATCTGGGCTCCGAACAGCAGCTGCCCACGTACTGTGCTCCCTGATCTGAGCAGATACTATCACCCATGAAAAATTGCCAGAGAAACACAGCCCGGACCTAATCGAGCCTCTTGGGAGTCTAGGTTTACAGGCACCTGAGGGATGGAAGACCATACATGGTAGATGCCACTTCCATGTGCATGGGGTGGCAGCTCGAGTTCTTCCACCAGTGCAGGGGAAAACAGGCTGAGTGTGGGTGCTGGTCAGGGGTGCAGCACACTCAGGGCTGGGGTGCAGTTAGCCCGTGCAGGCCTGGGCTGGAGCCCTACTCCCATGAACCAGCCGCAGGGTATGAGCCTTACTTCAGTCTGGACCCAAATGAATAAGTGGAAAATCATCAAAGAGGTAGTGAGGGAGAAACTGAAGCCAGAGCAGGTGTCTGATATCTGAAACTAAGAAGCGATGGCCAGCCAGGCTGGCACAGGCGTGTAGTCCCAGCACTACGTGGCTGAGGCGGGAGAATCACAAGTTGAGGCCAGCCTGGTCAGCCTACGGTTGAACCCAGGTCCTTCGCACTGAGCTGCTGTTTCCCCACATGCACACTGGCGCACACTCCCACTCCCCATTCAGTCAAGGAAGAACTGATTTGCTCGACCCAGGCATTCATTCATGTATCAGCCTCCGGCTTGCACGCACCTGGGAGCGTTCCCCGAAGTTCTGCTCAGAGCCGTGGACTCATTGTCCATCTTCGTTGGTTTTTCCAGATTCTGCACCACTCTTTATCCCTGGTGCCTTCCCCCAGAGGGACCATTGAGAACATCCTGGACAGTGACCCCCGGGACCTCATAGGCGATTTCTCTAAGGTGAGTGCATGCTGAGTGCTTAGTCAGACTGAGAGACCCGTGCTGGTGCTGCTGGGAGCCCCTGGAGCTTGTTCAGAACGGGGTCGAGGGAGGCTCTCCCACACAGGTGCCCACTGGTCCCTGTGGCACTGATTGGGGGCCTCCATGTGCAACTGTACACCACCTGGTTCAAGCCAAGAGCAGGCTCTGAGACCTGGGCTCCTGGTCACTGAATAGCAGGGGTGAAAGCAGGTGTGGCTGCTGGAAGTGTGTCCAGAGGCCTGCGCCGGGACTTGCATGTTCTGCTCTCGGGAAGCCTGGTTCTGCGCTTCTGAGGACCTGTTGGCTCAGTTTCGTTTCATTTTGTGTTTTATTTTTTTT